TAAATTCTGTTTCCCTTTCCACAGATACAACTGGACCTACTAGGTTTTACCAAGCATTTTTGGTTTTCATTTCAGCAAAAATAGTCATGCTTTTCAAGACAGCGTGCTGGTATGTTTTCCATTGCTTATCCAGATTAGGCTAACTATGCATTAGTATTACTTGGAGCAAGTGAGAAGATCCCAGTTCCCAATAACAGGTTCTAATTAGATTGCATCCTCTGGGATGTGGTGCTGGTTTAGTGGAGGTGTTGTGAGTAGTTATATGAATGAGGAAGGGAGTCATTTAGTTGGAGGTCAAGTGACCAGCTCAACAGTACAAATTCAAAACCAAGGGAGCATGTTAATTCTATTATTTAGCATCTAAAAGTAGGTGGTTCACAGGGAATGCTGGTAATCGGCTACGGCAGTCCCTGTGAACCACTTACTTTAGGTGCTAAATAATAGAACTAACATGCTCCCTTGGTTTTGAACTTGTACTATTGAACTTGTCACTTTGACCTCCAACTAAACGACTCCCTCCCTCATTCATATAACTACGCACAAACACCTCCACTACACTAGCACCACATCCCAGAGAATAGCCATCAAGGGTTCAGCCTTCAACAGGAGGAAAGTAGGAGTTAAGTTAGAAGATCATCGCCAATAGCTCATCAAGCAGCACAACCCCAAATAAAAACTGTCAATGCAAAAGTGTCATTCCCTGTCTGTAGAACAAATATATCATACCCACAATGACAGTGGTTTTTCTAGTTGCAAATGCAGAGTATCAGAAATAAATGTTTGCACCTCTGCAATCCAAAATGCTGGGCCGTTCATACAAGGCATTAAGGAATGAATATTAGAATGATTAGTGATAGAGGCAGTGGAAGGCAAATCTTTATTCTAAATTTCTGTGTAGACAGAATGATGCCTCTTAGGACTATATGATGTACGACACCAGTCAGAAGCTATGCCAAATTCAAATCATTTGTTTTGTTTATGGAGAATCTAATCATCATTCACACAACATGTTTAGTTAATTATCTAATTAAATTATTACTTTTGTTTGAAGGATATTCATCAGTTGATACTGAAGTAATTGGAGAGATTAAAACAAGAACTATATGCATTTTAAGCTGCAGCTTTCCATTAGAACATATATGGAACATGGATTCCAAGCCTATGTTTCTTTAATAGAACTTCAATTCCAATTTATTGAACACCTTATATCATACCAAGTCCTACACTATGATTTTTTTTTTGTAGGCTATAATTTAATTCATTCTCGTCTTTATATCACTAAGCTACTCTACACCTCTGTCAATAAGCTGAGCAGCAACCTACTTTGACAGACAAAATGATGACAGAACTCTGAATTTCAGTACATTTAATTCTACAATTTTTCACCAATTCATACTTTCAAAATCAGGAGAAAATAAAAAAAGTGTTCAAAATCTTTTATATTGTAAAATGTATTGAATGGGAGGTATTGGAGAAAACATTCAGGATGCAACATAGGATAGACATTGATGTAGAGGTTTTGATGAGGACAGCCTGCACCACTCTAGAGACAATAACATAATTAGGTACTTTCCCCCTTTATGATGATTTTCATTGGCGTCTTTCCAATTAATAATATTTAAAAAAACCTGTCAACGTGGAGTTCTGTTAAGACCAACACACCTGTGACATCTGTGAGGTCAGAACTTATCTCTGGAGTTTTTGACTATTTTACAATGCATCTTCATGCTAAAATAAGAAGTCAGCCTCTTGTTTATTAGACTAGATTTGGTTTTTCTGAACTAAACAGGCAGAAAATAAAACACACAGATGGAAAAAACTTACAATCCAAGTTTTATTAATAAAATGCAAATTTTCAAGAAAGTAGTCTCTTCACACTTCGGTATTATAGCAGTTTAACAATATCTTCTACAACTCTTTCTTTGCCAAATCCTACACTCCATTTATTATTTCCACTTCCCTTTCCGTATGTCAGTTTAGCCTGGAAAGCAGGCTCCAGGAAAGTCACTTTCTAATAAATTGTATTGAGAAACCAAGGTGATAGATTAATTGTGAAATGAAAGGAAGACAGAGAGGCAAGGAATTCATAGCGTTCAACAGACATTAATAAACTAGATCAAGGTTGAGGAAATGAATGATTTCTAATAGATAGATGTATAGGAACACAGGAAGAGCAGTAGGCTATTCAGCCTCTCGAGCCTGTTCTGCCATTCAATGAGATATTGGTTGATATGTGGTCTAAACTTCATATACCTGCCTTCAGCTCATACCCCTTAAAATCTTTGCTGATAAAAATGATCTCATATCTACCTCATCCATAAGATCTATGTTGTGTTTCGAATTCCACATTCCAATCTACCTCTGATTACCTATTTCTTACCAATAAAGAATTTGTCTACTATTACTGTTACAGATAGCCAAACCAAATCAGCCTTTCAGAGATAACACAGTGTAGAGCTGGATGAACACAGCAGGCCAAGCAGCATCAGAGGAGCAGGAAGGCTGACGTTTCGGTCCTAGACCCTTCTTCAGAAATGATTTTCCTTCACAATAAGCGGTTTCCCAAAATCCAAAAGTCATCTTCAGCTCTCAATTCCCAGTTCACAGCTCAAAACCAAAATTGATAGCAGAATAAAAATAAAGGAAAATCAGTAACAGTTCTAACATTACCATTACCTTAAATATATTAAATGACCCCACCTCCATTACCTTCTGGGGCAGAGAGTAACAAAAAGTCACAAAAACTCTTGGTAAAAGTTCTCATCTCTGTCCTAAAAAAACCTTTATTTTTATAACAATGTCCCCTAGTTCTGGAGTCACCCTAAACAGGAAACATCCTTTCCACATTAACTTGTCAAGACCATTCAGAATCATATATGCAGTACTTCAATCTAGACCTCCGCACTCTTCTGAAACTCAGTGGAAACAGGCACAGTCTGTCCAATCTATCCTCACAATCTATCCCCACTCATTCCAGGTATCAGTCTATTAAACATCCTTTGTCCAGCCTCACGGGCAATTGCATCCTTATTTAAATAATGAGACCAAAACTGTACACTGAATTCAAGATGTGATCTTACCAATCCCCTCTATAACTGAACCATTATGCCTTTACTCAAGTTCAATTCCTCTTTCAATAAAGGATAGTAGCTCGTTAGCCTTCTTGATTACATGTTGCAACTGCATACCAAATTTCTGCATCTTTCACACCAGAACGCCTAGATCTTTCAATCTCAGAATTCATTCTCCATTTAGTACTCTGCACTTTTATTCTTCCTGCCAAAGTGAACAACTTCACATTTTCTCCAAACTGTACTCCATCTGCCAGAGTTTTGCCCACTCACTCAACACATCTATATTAGATTGCCAAGTTCTGAAGAAGGGTCACCGGACCCGAAACGTTAACTCTGACTTTTTTCTTCACAGATGCTGCCAGACTTGCTGAGCTTTTCCAGCAACCTCTGTTTTTGTTCCTGATTTACAGCATCCGCAATTCTTTCGGTTTTTATTGCAAAATTCTTATGTCTTCGTCACAATATACTTTGCTGCCTATCTTTACATATACTCAGTTGATAGTGCAGAAATGAGAGTATTACTGGAAAAATATTTGACAACTGAGAAACTGGACATTAGCTTGATAATCCTGAATGTGCGAGGGATTACATTGTCAAACAATTTAACGTTAGAAGTGACGCAACATCAGTGAAGTGACAAAGGAGACATGCTCTGAAAGCTTGTGATTTCAAATAAACCTGTTGGACTATAATCTGTCGTTATGTGGCTGACTTTGTCCACCCCAGTCCAACACCAGCACCTCCATGTCGATTTAATGTTGTCAGTTGAGCTGCAGTGTAATGTGCTTGCATGTTCTGTAAGTTACATATATTAATACAGACAGAAACAACATTTACATGTTCTGTGTCTGCTTAAATTCAACAAAATTAGTGTAGACGTTTGCTTGTACATTTCTCAGGCAATGCTCTCCCCAACAAGAGTCAACCTGCCTGCTTTAAAATTGAAACCAAGTCTGGCAGTTAAGTGTCAAACATTAATGGGTACATTCTTTATGGCCATGCCTCTAACAGAGGCCACTGCCAATCAATCAGTACTCTTCTCTTAAGTAGAATAAATTTTGGTATTTATTCTCCACAACAATCTTTGATGTTCCTAAATGTAATCTGTTCTAATAACCATAGTACCTTCTGGAAATTTAAATACAGTACATCTACAGGCTCCCCTTTATCCACAGCACGTCACTCCTTCAAAGAACTCCAATAAATTGGCTAAACCTGATTTCCCTTTCATGAAACCATACTGAGTCTTCCTGACAACATTGAGTTCCTCTCAGTACCCGGCCATAACCTCCTAATGATCGATTCTATCACCTTTCTCATGACATCAAGCTAATAGACTGGCATGTTTCCTGTTTTCTGCCTCTCCACTTTCTTGAATAATGGGATCATATTGGCTGATTTCCAGTCTGATAGAACCTTCTCTGGATCTAGGGAATTTTGGAAAATTAACATCAGCACATCTACCACCTCATTATCTACCTCTTTTAATACCTTAAAATAAAGTCTAGTTTGACACAGAGATTTATAGTCATACAGCATGGAAACAGACGCTTTGGTCCAACTAGTCCACACCAACCATGTTCCCAAACTAAACTGCCCAACATGCCTGCACTTGGCCCATATCCCTCCAAACCTTACCTATTCACATACTTATCCAAATGCTTTTAAATTGAAATTGTACCAGCATCAACCACTTCCTCTGGCTGTTCATTCCACACAAGAACCACTTCCGGTGTAAAAAAAGTTGCCCCTCATGAGCTTTTTAAACCTTTCTCCTCTCATCTTAAAAATATGCCCCCGAGTTTTGAACTCTCCTCACCCTATTCACCTTATCTATGCCTCTCAGGATTTTATAAACCTCTAATAAGAACATCCCTCAACCTCCTACGCTTCAGTGAAAAAATATCCCAGCTTATCCATACATCTCAAACCCTCCAGTCCCAGCAACGTCCCGGTAAATCTTTTTTGAACACTTTCCGGTTTAATAAAATCTTCACATAACAGTGTGAACTTCACACAGTACTCTAGAAGAGGTCTCACCAATGTCCTGTACAACCGTATCATGACATCCCAATTCCTAAGCTCAAAGGCAAGTGTACTAAATGCCTGCTTAACCCCCCTAATTACCTGTGATGCAAATTTCAAAGAATTACGTACCTGAACCTCCAGGACTCTTAAATCACGTGCGAATCTGAAACGACACTTCTGAAATTTATCCTGACAATTACCTAAAGAGGCTAGTCCCTGCAGTCCACATCCTGCACCACCAACTCCCAATGCTCGCAAGTGTGGCCAGCATTGCTTGATCATCTGCAGGCTGTTAAATCGAGTTGGCTGGTGGCTCTTGGTGAGTTGTTTGTCTTAGCCCACAGCTCCAGTTTGCTGAGTGCCTCTTCCCTCTAATTGCAATGTCACCAAGTTTCTCTCTCCCTTCCACCTCCTTGCATCCTTTACAGTGAAAACAGAAGCCAAAAAAATTGTTCATTTCAGCCACCATTCCCTTATTATCCACCATTATCTCCCATCCTCAATCTCTACAGAACCAACACTTTACTTCTCTTTTCCTTTTTAAATTCCTGGAGAAACTCTTGCTGTTTTGACATTCCTAGCTAGATTCCTCTCTTATTCTAATTTCTTTCTCTTCATTAATTTTTTAGTCATTCTCTCCTGTTCTTTATGTTCTGACCAATCATCTGATCTGCCACTCATCTGTGCACAGTTAATATGTTTTTCCTTAATTTTTATGCTTTCCCTAACTTGTTTTAGTGAACCACAAATGAGCAGAAGGTGCTCCCTTCAGAATTCTTTCTCGAAGGAATCTACAAATTTGAGTGCACTGATATATCATGGATGTGGAAAATGTCAAGTCTGTTTCCCCCTCTTGCTGGTTTCCTCACCACCAGCTGCAGACCCAGTCTAGCCATTACGTTCTTTAGCACTCGACTAGCTCAGTCAGTAGTTATTGTTATGACCCGCTTTGAAAAGTGGACTGATTCTTGAGCACCACTACTCCCAGGATTGCTGCCAAAGTTAATCATTTAATCAAAGTACTTAAAGTTCCCAATTTACCTGTCTGCTGGACTCAGATTAATAAAAAATAATAATCACATTCTTGTGCTTAACAAATGTTATTTATTACAAATAAATAAGTCCAAGCCTCAGGTAAACATAACCATGAATTATTAGCATATAACTGTACTAGTTGAAACTCTAACCCCCTTTTAAACCCTACATTCATGCAGACAAGAAAGGTTATCATGGGTGGACAGAAAAATGCTGGGAAACAGTTCAACAGCACCAGCCCACAGGATCTGATAAGATGCTCCTTTTGCTTCCCAAGATCCTCTGTTCTCCAATCTCTTTCCTGAATTACTTCACTTCTTGGCAGGAAGCACAGGGTGTTTGGTATACTAATTACAAAGCGTCTTAGTTACTGGTTAAAGGCAACTGCTCACAGCAACTGGTGGCAGAAGGTAACCAGCATTCTTCAGGTTTTGGTTTCTTTACTGCAGAGAAATAGAGACACATATCCCAATTTTTCTAGTTTGACTACTCTGTGTCTACTCTGCTCACACACCCCAGGTGTTCAGCTGCCCAGGAACCAGAGGGACTGATGACCACTGGCATCCACAACTAATTACTACTATACAAATCATATCAGCAATTTGTTACTGAATGAATCTCACTCTGCACACAGACTGTGATGCCGTGTCATCCCTCCTTCCCCACCTCTTGCAAAAGCAACAGTTTAAACACAATGATTTCCAATAACTTGTTCCTTTTAAAAGTGCAGCAACTCCTTTCACAGTTCTTGGATTTTAAAAGTGTTTAAGCCCAAAATCAACAATTAAGAAAAATAAAAAAAATTACATCGTGCTGTTAAGTCACTCTTGGTGATGGTTTGGGAAGATGGGGGGAAAGCACAGTTAAGGCACACATTATATTCATTCTATTTTACAAATTTCTAATCTGTGACCAAAGCATTACATATGATAAATGTGACATGCAATAACAGAGGTTAGATGATTACTTTGAAATAGATCTCCTTCACCCTGGCTCTAGCTAAAATACAATATTGCATAAGATTGCAAAGCAAATATACGATCAGAAATAACTTGGAACCAAACTGAAATGCGCAATTCTGTTGACATTATGAGAGACAAATCCAAATTCTTCTGAACTGCAGAAATCTTATCTAATTGCTACCAGCAATAGTAATGCTTTCTTGTATCAAGTTTTGAGTTGTGCAAAAATATTTAAACAGTACCTTATTAAAAAGAATTAGTAATAGAAGAGATGAAGGACTGTTTGCACTTATCAATAATGATTACCAGGAATCACAATGTACTCAAACAGGGTATTTTCCCTTTTCATAAGCTATATAAACTGCCATTCATCATTCTCGTCTGTGATGAACATTGATCTAAATTGTTATAAAAGTTACATATGAAAATGCTACAGAATGCATTTTTAAAAAAAAACATCATTCTTAGCATTGGCAGGATCAATATTTATTTTCCCTGTTTGGTTGCTCTTCAATGGCTTTGAAGCTGTAATTAGACTGGGCAAGGTCAGCAAGTTTCCTTTCCAAAAGGATCCTGATGAAATAGCTAGATTTTCATAGTCACTTTTACTGCTATTGGTTGTTTTATTCTTATTAGACTGAAATTGAATACTCCATCTGCTAAAATGGGATTAGAACACTCATCATTCAGGCCTCTAGATTGCTAATCCAGTAATAAAACTACTGCGCTACAGTATCTCAGATAAATGGCAGGTATGAACATAAAGTCTGAACTTCCCTTTTGGCCACTTGGATCACTAACGAATGATAATATTTGGCACTCGCTCTTTCTCATTATGCAGAATTTATCAAAAGTCATGATAAGCTACATGTTTTTCAGATACAGTGCAATTTACATTCTTTACTCTGTGATTAAAATCAATTTTAAAAAAAGTCAAATCCTGCATAATGAAGAACATGCTTAGTCAGTAACTTTACTAATCTACTACAGAGTAAAAGTTCTCTCTTACTGGAAAAGAGATCTGCTTTAAAATATTTATGCTTAAATACAGGAGTAACTTTTGGAGGAGGCTAAAGGCACTTTCTTTCCCATCCTCCTTGTTCTATGTTTATCTGGGTTTGGCTACCATTTTAAAAATCAGTCATAATCTGCATCCTTGGCAGCAAATGTGCATTTCAGTCAAAAATACATCCGAAGTTGCTCCATGTTTTTATGCAAAGTTACAGTAAAGTACGTTCCAATGTCATCAGAATACACTTAAGCCTAAAACGTGAATGCAGTGTCATAGATCAATGTAAGGAACTCGGGCTTAAGGAAATGCTAGATTTAGAATAGTACAAGTCTTCCTCTCGTCTCAAGATCAAATGTTTCAATTTATTTAGCCAATATTCACACATCAGACAGTATTAAGGACCTGCAACTGGAATAGTTTCTCAGTTTTATAGGTAACATACTTTGCTATAAAAATGCATTCTAAGGAACAGATAACGCAGAATAGAAATCAGAAAGGAGAAGGATTTTTAAAAACCCTTTCCAAAATTGCAATTAAAAGATCAGAAAAATGATAGACTCTTGCTATGCCTGAAAACCTACAAGCAATATGAAGTGACTTGTGAATAAGCAATTATAGGATGCTCATATTAGTTTGACGTGTGGCCTTTTACGTGCTACATTTGGTTTGGTGGGCAGATTTGATGGACAGGCTTAAAAGATTGAGAAATTTGCGCTTATTGTAGTTACAAGCACAACTTACGCTCAAAATTCCTCAATCTTTTTAAACTCTTCTATTGGTGTCTGCACAGATAACAGGTTGCCATAGAAAATGCTCTGCCCATCCATCACACTGTAATTAGACCTTCCCATCAATGTTGCACTGTTGTCTCAGATGTGCACTTCCCAGATCCTCAATTTGTATTATTCAGAAAATCTTATGTACTTCAACCAGCTCTACTTCTCTTCCCATATTATGCAAGTTGCAGAAACCTTCAACATGCTCTTGAAAGCAATGCAATTCAGACTATTATCTTAATAGTCTAGAGTAAGATGAGTAGAAAAGACTCAATATTCGCAATGCATCATTCAGATCATGAATCCATATTCAATCCTTGGTCTGTTTTAAGTCACAATGTTCAGTCAAATGTAGCAATAGATTACTACAGTTGGTCAAGCCTCTCTGAGCTAGGAAAGGAGAAAATAAAAACCTTTTCTGGTGAATGTTATCCAACAACACTTGCGTGGGAGCATTTGGATAGATCTATTAAGTTGGGCTGAAATTAGTTGAAACCTCATCTTGGTTGAAAAATAAGCTCATACAGGGAGGTTGGAAGAGATTAAGACAAATTTCACTGACTGCTTTTCAAATAAGTGCAAAAGTTAGGGAATGTACAAGTTCTTACTTACCCATACTATTTGTAGAGCTGCACCACATCAGAAGAAAGCCTGTGCAAATCAAGTTTAACAATCCAAAGAGCAAGATCTTCCAAGACTGTGAAATAGAGAAAGTGCATTAACAGCACTGAAGCATTCAGAGTGCATCACCTTGCATGAATTTTGATCCTTGTCATTTTTGTTTGACAAAAGTTACTCATCTGCTGTTCAACTCAATTAAAGGATGGCCCAAAACATTTCACATTTAGCATTCTGTCAGACAACCAGCATGAGGTATGTACTGCATTCACTGGATACAGACGCACAGAATGAACTTGAAATAAAGCAAGCAGAAATGGATTTTCTGATTGTTTCAACTTATGGAGGTGTATATGCGAGATGTACACCAGTTGAAAGCACGAGCATTTGTTTTGAATGAAACTGCATCTGCACATACTAGAATTTCATTTAGCTAAGAAAATTGGAGAGGAAGTTAAAGGGGGAGGAGAAGAAAATAAGTCACTCAATGTAATTCGCATTTGTGCTGGTCAATGCTGAATGCAATTGGCAACAATCCAAATCACCTCATGATCCTAGTTTAAAATACACTGTTTACTCAAATAAATCAGCACAATTCAAGGCAGCAGATTGAAAATTTTCAAAAGAAAATGGTAGAAATTAGATCATTCAAGTACTGATCTGCAGCACTGTGTTCTGAAGATGCTTTCTATTTCATATTTTCTTTAAAGATTTAAGATTTGAAGGATTTTGGAGAAATAGATTAAAAGTTTCGTGGGAAAACCTACAGTGGTCTCTTTCGAAGCAGTTGTTGGAAAGTCATAGTAGATTTTGAGATGAGGCATCTTAGGCATCATAAGACTGATGATAATTGCTTTTTTTTCCTGTAGACTCTTGCTGGGACTGTTTAGAACAGTGATTGGCTCGGAGTGTGGATTAGTGGGGGGAAGGGAGGAAGTGCAGCCCAACTGATCCATTCTGTTTCTAAAGAACCTTCTTCTCAAGTTCAGAATGAAACACGATTTTCTGAAAGAACAACTTGAGGAATTTTTCCAAGTTGTATTGTCTAAGCAAGGTGTGTCTGAAAGACTCTGGAGAGAAGAGTGCATGGTTAAGAACTTGACCACATGCGCCAGAGCATCAGAGTGACAGACAATGGAATAGTCTATTCTTAATCCTTTTTCCTTCAAAAATAAAATTTTGACCGAAGTTTTTTTTTCCAAAAGACAATCTTTGCAGAGAAATAAGTTTTTTTGTTTTTTTTCCAGAAGAGCACGAGTGTGTTTTGGGGATATTTAGAGGGATTAACATCTGTACCTTGATATGATTGACTGTGTACAATAACCACTTATTGCATCTACTGGTTTATTAAGAAATCTGGTTGATGGATCGTATTGTTTAAAACCCAATATAAATAAAGCATTTAACTGGTCATTTTTTTGTCAGTGGGAAAAATATTTTCATTTTAAGTTGTGACTCATGAAGCAGAGGGCGACAGCAACAGTGCACTCCTTCAGCTTCAGCTGTAACATATAAAATGGTAGGATGTGGATTCATACCCATGGTTCTGCACTGACTAACTTCATTAGTTCAAACCGGTCAGGTGGAAGTGCAATGAGAATGCAGGAATTTATCCATAGGGAAAGAATAGAATGTTTAGTTTGAGCATTGTATCGGTGACCATAAACAATGGAAAATAAACAATAGAAATTTATTATGTTTGACAAAATATAAAAGAGGCTTTTCAGTTTGAGTTTCAGTCAAATGGAAGCCTTACAACACCTACTGCTGGCACCGAAAAATATCAAGTAAAATATACAGATGATAGCAGCAAAAGCAATAAGAAGCGTATCTATCTGCCAACAGCTGGTGTGGTTTGTTTCTAGCCACATCATTCAGAAACACTTGAGGACGAACTGTAAGTTCCAAGGTCCACATTCTGATGCTGGAGTGAAATCCCAGATTGTGAACTGGCAGGTAATTATAACATGACCATGGAGAAGAACCGAGAAGGTGATTGTTTAAGAGGTCAAATCCAGTATTGAGGATAGTAGGCAAGTCCTGTGGCTAGAAGGTTGTCATCATTTCATTCATGGGCTGCAGTCACCTACGGGGGACACTTCTCCTGGCATGTAAAGAGTGCTCTCAACTAAATGGAAGGGAAATCAGAGTTCAGCATTGCTCATCTGTTGCTGGCATTATCCACAACCCAAGTGCAGGTCTGGTACAGACAAAATAGGCCAAATGCCTTCAGTGTCATTGATTGTCTACAACTTGTACAAGGTGTTGTGTCTACCTTCTAAATCACCATCTGTACATGCCTACGGAATTTTTAAAAAGTCGTTCTTTAACCTTGTAATCTAAGTTAGCTTGTAGGGAAAAGTAGGTAAAACCTATACAATTTTGATAAATTAAGTTAGTTTTATGAAAGCTTTTGAAAACTGAAATAAAGCATTGGAGCATTGTAAATGGTTAATCCTATTTTTTGCTGTCTCTCAATAATTACTGGTGCAACATAGAGAATTACTATAAAATGAAAATATTATTAATTATGGTCTACCAAACCTCCAGCTATGCTCTACAAATATATGCAAAACTACTTCAATCTTTCAGGAATTAAGTGTTTTTAACATGGATGAAAAATGCAATTAAAACATTTGGAACATTCAAACATTATAAGGTTTTAAATGGAAAACACAAAACCAGTAAAAACAATATCCCAAAGTCTAATTTGGGAACTTAAATATTGACCTGGATTTTGCAGTCAACAATGAATCAGCAGCATTTGACTTTGAGTGTGGATTCCCTCTATTCTGACATGACTTTGAATGTGGAGCCGTCTTTAAGCGGTGGAGGGACGAAATAGGCTAATTACTCAGTTACAATTAAGAATTCTCAGATAACAATGCAGGGAGTGAAATTCGTTTTAAAAAATGTGTTAATTACTGCACAGTAAGTGAAGAAAAGATCAGGACTTTATATGGGGATTAAGGGAGAAACTGAGATATATAAAAAGGTGAACAATAAAAAAATTCAGCCAAGTTTTAAATGTACTTCTGAGGGAATGAGACCTACATTTGGAAAATTAGTTTTTTAGGTTGAAAAGATTGTTCATTTGTAATTATGTGATCGTACAACTGTTAAAAACACAGTTAGTCCTGATCAAACAAGTCAACATTTTTATTACTATTTACAGCAAGAATAGGGAATTAAAAATAGTTAGCCCTACTGCCTCACAGTACCAGGGAGCCACGTTCGATACACTGACAGTCACCTGAGGCTAGAAAAATTTGCACCATTCTTCCCGTGTCTGCGTGGGTTTCCTCCGAGTGCTCCGGTTTCCTCCCACAGTCTAAAGATGTGCAGGATAGATGAATTGGCCATGTTAAATTGCTTCAGTGCCCAGGGATGTGCAGGCTAGGTAGGTTAGCCATGGAAAATACAGGGTTACAGGGACTGGGTAGGGGTCTCTCGGTGGGATGCTCTTTGGAGAGTCAGCGTGGAATCGATGGGCCAATGACCTGCTTCCACTCTATAGGAATTCTATGATCTAAGTGACATTATTAACAGTCTTTGCATATACAATCAGCACAATTAACCCAAAGGAGGAGATTAAAGTGACTGTACTTGACATCAAGGCTGTATTTAACTGAGTTTGGCATTAAGGAGCCCTAGTAAAATTGAAGGTAACTGAAGTCAATGTTGCTGGGTCAAGTTCCAGGAATTCCCTCCCTAAAAGCATTGTGGATCAACTGACACACATGGATTGCAGCAGTTTAAGACAAAAACTCACCACCACCTTTTCAAAGGCAACTTTGGACAGACAACAAATGCTGGCACAGCCAGCAATGCCCATGTTCAACAAGAATAAAAGGAAAAACTCTCAAGTAGTTGCAGTTATAGCTCACACAAAGGAAAAAGGATGTGGGGTGTTGAACGCTAATCATCTCAGCCTCAGGGTATAATTGCAAGAGTTCTTCAGGGTAGTATACTAGGTTTAATCATTTTCAGCAGGTCCGTCAATGGCCTTCCCTTCAGGTCAGATTTTGGGATATTTGTAGATGAGTACATTGTATTCTGTACCGTTTGAGTCTCCTCAGACACTGAAGAATTGAATACCCACATGCAGCAAGACTTGGACAACATTCAGATTTGGGCTGATAAGTAGCAAGTAACAGGAGCACTATACAAAATGTCAGGAAATGACTATATCAAACAAGAGAGATTCTAACCATCTCCCCATGATATTCAATTGAATTACCATTGCTGAATCCCCCATAATCAACTTCCTGAGTGTAACCAGTGATCACTATTCTGATGTACTCTTGTAGCCAGAGGCTGGAAATTCTGTAGCAAGTCATACACCTGACTCTCAAAACCTGCCCACCACATACAAGGCACAAGTCAGCGATGACCATGCTAAACAAGTGTTATGATACCAGCTGATGTTACCACTGGACAAGTCAGATCTCAGAATGAGATATGGCTAATTTGATTTTTTTTCAGTATTATTTAACATGGTGATTTTTACTGAAACACAAGTTGACAAGGCTGCAGATTTGAATTTAACATAAAAGCGGTCTCTTTATACAAAAGAAATCAATATAAAACAAACCAAGCTAAATATACCATAATTAAAAGATTTCAAAATGCAAGGCAAAATAAAATCTCACTATCGCCAAACAATGTCACTTTGCAATTAATCAAAATCCAAAGAAATTTTCCTTCTCTACCAAGTCTGAGTTTGCTTCTTCTCAGGAAGTCTCTATCTTGGAATACATAATCAAAAGCTTTTCAGACTTTTAACTTGCTGCAGAGTTCTAACGAAACACTCGTGGCCTGGAAATTTCACAAACCATACAGTTTCACTGAGGTAACATTCCATTATCTGCTTTGAAGAATCTCCTTTCCTAGGATTGACTTTACTTGGTTCAGTCAGGTCCCCTTTAAATTGAACCTAAAAGCATTCTAACTAAATTTTTAAAGACTTTCTCATCTTGGCTTCTTCCTGTTGTAAACCATCACAGTATAATCAAACTTCTGCTAACCCTTCACAAAACATTGCAGTCACCTGTTCTCTGACAGCGTACTGGTTTTAACTCATAAATTTGGAAAGGCTGACCTAGGTAATTCTTAAATGCTTTCACTAAAATAATCCAATGCCCATATGCCACTCGTTTAAAATTCAAACTCTTTTAAAACAAAGACATCTTTATATGAATCTCACAAACTTCATCAAACAAGAAAGAATTTATTCAAACCCCTTTGACATTTAACAGCATTACCATTACTGAGAGCCACACAATAGTATCGTTCAAGGTTGGGACTTACCACGAACCAGAAACTTTACTGGATCATATGCAGGGATCACCTCACTTCCTGATTCCCCAAAGCCTGTCCATCATATGGGCTCAAGCCAGGAGTGTGATGGAATATCCACCGCTTGCCTGGGTGAGTGCAGCTCCAAAAAACACACAGGAGAAGCTCCAACCATTCAGGACAAAGCAGCCCGCATGACTGACACTCCATCTCTACCTTAAACATTCACTCCCTCTACTACTGATGCACAGTGGGAGCATTATATATTATACACATGATTCATGGCAGCAATTCACCAAGGATTTCAAAATATAGAAGGACAAGTATAACAGACTACAAGCCACAAGATGCCCTTCAAGTCACACATCCTTTTAATGTAGAAAACCATCACCATTCTTCTGTTAGGTCAAAATCTTAACAGCATTGTGGATATCCCCACATCAGAAGGACGATAATAGTTGGAGGCTACAGCTTCCGTTACCTTCAAGGGCAATAAGGGATGAGCAACATATGTTACTTCTGCCAACGATATACACATCCCACAAAAAAATTGTAAAAAACAACGGTGGAGGTGCAGGATTCAAGGACAGCAATTTCTATATTTTCATTTATAAGTTGCTGTCAATTTTACATGGCAATGGAGAAAAGTGTTAACATGGAAACATAGTAAATAGAAGCAGAAGTAGGCTATTCAGCCCTTTGAGTCTGCTCGACCATTCACGAAGATCATCCAACTCAAGAGACTGTTTCCTTACATCCTCGTACCCTTTGATCCCTTTAGGTCCAAATGCTATTTTCAAAACCTTCTTGAAATCATGCAATTTTGTGAATTCCACAGGTTCACCACTGTTTGGGTGAGGAAATTTCTCCTCAGCTTAGTCCTAAACTGTTTTCTCCATATCTTCAGACTGTGACCTCTGATTCTGTTGATTGCTTTGTCATCATTACAACCAATAACTCTCAGACAATGTTCAACGTTTACATTCCCAGAAATGCTGTTATTGAGACAGTTAGGTTACAGCATAGTCTCTCATTCCAAATTACTCATTAATGATATGGGTTTCACAAATGAAAATGTGTTCTACTTTGAGTAAAATTTGATTATCAATAGCTTGTCCTGTAACCTATACAATTACAGAAGAGATAAACATTTTAAATCAACACAACCATTAATGACTAGGTATAAGTTATTTTTTTTAAATAGTACTTACCCGCCTATCAGCTGACACCAGCAGAAATTCTTGGGTAAACTTTCCACCAAGAGATCTGTGCGTTTTGTGGAAAGGATGAATCGTACCCTTTTCAAAAACAAAATCAATTTTAAATATCAACATATCTTCATAGCAGAGAAACACACTGACTTCACCACATAATCAATGCTGACACTCCAGTACATCACTAAGAGGGTGCTTTATGGTCAGAAGTGCTAGCTTTCAGATATGAAGTTAAACTGAAGCTCACCTAGTCGAGGTGCACCAAAGAATTCCACTGCATTATTCAAACAGACAGCCCTGATTAATATCCCTTCCTCAACCAAAAACAGAGTAACCAATCCAATATTGCACACATGAACCTCTCTGAAATGTACAAATGAGCACGACATTTCAAACTGACAAAGCATAGAAAAAAAGCAGTTAACTGTATCTGCTAACCCAAGTGCTCAATCTTCTGTATAATCTAAATAGAAGTTAACCCTTCATGTGACAAATTTAACCATATTAAAAATAAATCAAGGTAGAGCTTTCTTTTAAGTTTGTGCTAGCTCTTTCATCTCAACCCTAGTGAAACTAGGAAACCAGTGGAAAACAGTAAGGGATTTTAAACACAAGTTATGTCAAAAATTAGTTTCCAGCAACTCTAAATGCTGTTTCCAAAATCATTTTGCCCAAAACCAGCTTCACGCCAAAATTGAAATAATGACGACAGAAAATGCTTCACTGATTCTGGATGCTGTAGACGGTCGGTACTTGGACCCCATTACCTTAGGCACGTGGGAACATCTGTCTCATTTTAAAACTTTTCACATATTAAACATTATTTAATTTACTAGGAAACTGACTAGTCTTTTCAGTTAGTGAAGGTTAAAATGAAGGTGGAGGCAGACAGAATGAACCCATTTCCAGTTTTATTGAAAATACTGTATAATGTTACTACTCTTGGATACAATGAACTTTTTTTAATGTGAAGAAATATTACAGAACTATGCTTTATTCATGGGAAATGTTAATGTTTGTATTTATGAAAATGAATTTCAGCAGAAACTGAAACTGTATCTGAGCCAGCGTGACTTGTAATCTAAAAATGCAATCATGTTACATCCATAAACTTTCTTAATACTGACCATTGATGTACTTGTTTTTTGTCAATTCACAAAGTAGGTAAACTATCTCGCAAAAAAAAAAATTAAGAAATGAAATGACAATATACTTGTCTTTATTTGAGCTGCGGTTAAAAGCATGTACTATCTGATTTTCAGCTAAACTTCAGTATTAACGGTACATAACAATTGGGGTTATGAAAACTGAAATTGCAATCAGATTACAGTAGCAACTTTCTTTGCTACTTCTAACTTACTATCGCTATGCATTGTACATGAAATGCCTTTAAGCAAAAGAACAATAACAAAATCAAATTATAGCCATTTATTTATTAATAATGAAAAACAGTTTTCCATTTTCTCAATAAACCTACATGATAATTCAGAGGAAGTAGTTTAAAATTTAGTGAGATGAAAGATGAACCCAGGAATTACTGTGGCTCATGCAACCACAAATGAGTTTGGAGTGAGGGTGGATGGATAATTTATTACATACATATAGATCTAAAAAATGAATGAATGCTTTAAACCAGAATCCAAAATTTTCCAGATTACAAATTATGTTCACTTATCACTGAAAACCTACACCAATTGGAGAGATTACTAGGAGGCATAATAAATAATGGTCATTAACTGAAACACTATCCTACTAATACAGAACACTGTATCCATTAAAGTCGAAAAGTTATGAAGTCTACCGTACAACATGTGCAAGCAAGATTCCATGCATTGACTACCTGTAATGGAGATTTTTCAGTGACATTTCAATTTGCTATACATAGAGTAGCTCTTTTGTTGTCAGCTTACATCCCCTGTCACTCTAGCAGAGGCTGACACAAATTACTGGGCTTCATAGAACACAGAAGATACATTATTTTGACTGCTGTTGTAAAGGGGTACATCTTACACTTTATCTGTGACTGAGAAACAGAGTTGCTCTCTGAGTGACCCTTCAAGTTTAGAAAAACCTTTGTGCCTATCAAACAGGAAAATATAATTAAATACGTTTCAAAATTACATAGGGTTTAACATCAAATAACTAAGTCAAACACAATAGGACACATAGGAAGGAAAAGTTGAGAAGAGATTTTAATGCATTAATTGTACAGATTTTCTGTAAAGCAAAAAAGGATAACCCTGCAAACAACAACTTTAATTCAGTCAGCTTTAAACTCTAGAACTCACTGAGCTAATAACAAGAGGCATTTACATTTTAGTACCAGAGGGCTACAAAACCAATATACAAGCTATGTTTATGGGCTTCTGAACATGGATTAAAATTTAAGCTAAGAATCAACTGGGTACTCTGAAACAAATGATTAAAAATTAGAAATTCTCGGGTCACCCACATACTGCAACTAATTCAATGGCTCTTGACATGGTTACCCTTCATTTGGATTACTTGGTTTGAACTAAACAGTCTGCATCAATGTTACGTTGAGGTTTTGTGCAGTCATGAAATATGAAAGGCAACTGGACTAAAATTTCAAAAGACAGTTTAGCAGAATTAAAAGAAAGTATGAGCCTGAAGAACATTATTTAAGATATATCATAATCTCATTCTATTCTTAAACTTGACAACAGAAATGATAAGTCTTTAAAGTGCTTGCATGTTCAACTTCTCTCTTACCTTCAGACAAATTTGACTATGCTTTCATTTCTTTCCCACTCCAAGCAATCTCAGCATTCACTTTTCTTCATTAAAAGGGCTGCTCATATCATTCATCATTTCTCAAAGTGAACGAATACCCTGGCCCATTGTGGGCATGCAAGAGATTCATACATTAATGTATTGGTTCATAAGCACAGCCAGCAGTTAACATGAAGCAAATGCCATATATTTGATACTTTATCCTATTAATTAGTAAAATTCAGAAACATACCCAAGCATTTTGCTGAAAACAGAGTCTCACTAAACTGCCCAACTAGAGGTACATTAAAGGGGATTTAAGGAATATCCAAAGTATACTGCAGCACCTTGTCAAAACTTGTCAGTCTGAATTACTTTTTACATTAATTTAGTTCTGGGATGATTGGTTGATGGGAGACATGGTATGGCCCCACAAACTTTGAATTCTCTGAAAAGCATAAGCAAATTCTCAATTAAATAAGGATGGACATTTTAGAAACTGGAAAAGAGAAACTTCTCAAATAACATCTGTAAAAAACACAGATATTACTGGAAAAATTCAGGTCCAGCAGCATCTGTAGAAAGGGAAACAGAGTTAACATTGGGTCTGGTAACGACTCTTCCTCAGAACTGAAAGGTATTGGCACTTTTTGACAGTTCCCAGGTTACAATCTGGTTCCATTCTGGAGTCCATTCGCAAGTCAATTTGTACACAAGTTGGAACACAATGCAGGACAATATAAGTAGCCACTTGTAAGTACAGGAAATGTTTCTATGTCAGACCTTTAAAATTATCCCTGTATGGAATCATGTTCGTAAACTGCATGTTTGTAAATCAGGGACCTCCAGTGTACTTTTGACAAAGATTGAGGCCCAGTGCAAAAGACAAATGGGTTTCTAATGGTGAATAGGGAAAAATATGTTAAATGGGTGAAAACTAAAATCAGAAAGAGGCAGAATTGGTCCTAATTACTAAGTAAACATGACCAGGCTGTGGCGGGGGGAGGGGGGGGAAGGTTGGTTTTGATGGTGGCATGGCATTAAGAGAAGAGAATAAAAGAAAAATGAAGAACAGATATAATGTAGTCAGTTTCTAAAGTTATGAAATTCAATATCGAGACCTCAAGGCTGCAAAGAGCGTAAGCAGAAAATGATGCATTGCTCCCCGAGCTTGCATCGTGATTCATTGGAATGTTAAAGCAGGCCCAGGACAGTAATGTTAACATAACAGCAAGATGGTTTATTGGAATGGCAAGCAACTGGAAGGTCAAAATCATTTTTACAGATGGAGCAGAGGCATTTAGCAAAGCAGGCACCTAATTTGCCTCTGATCTTGCCAATGTAAAAGAGACCAGAATGTGAGCAGTGAATGCTATAGACTAGATTGAAAAATGTACAAGCAAAATACTGCATCACCTGAAAGATGTGTTTGGGACCTTGAACAATGGAGAGGGAATAAATGAATGGCAAGCGTTACATCTTCTGCAATTACATATGAAGGTGCCATGGGGAAGTCAAGAAGAGTTAGGAGCAATGAAAGACTGGACCAGGGTGTCACAGAGGAAGTGGCCCCTGTGGAACGTCGTCAAATGAAGGGGGTTGTGGCACTTTGCCAGAAATGGCAGAGAATGATCCTTTGAATATGGAGACAAGAGGGGTGGAAAGCAAGGACAAGGGAAACCCTAACATTGTTCTGGGAAAGAGGCGGCAGGATGAAGGCCAAAGTATGAGGGATGGGTCAGACATGGCTGAAGGCCCTGTCACGCATAATTGGGAGGGGACTTCTCAGATAAGTGAAAAGGAAGTAGCCTGGTGGAAGGTGGCATCATCAGAACAAATGCAACAGAGAATGGATAGGAATCCTTGCAGGTGTGCGGAGATTTTGTCAAGCTAGCTGCAGGAGTTATTGAATGGATACTGATGGACAGCCTATTCTCAGAAATAGAAACAATGAAATTAAGGAAAGGAAGGATAGAGTCAGATGGAACAGGTGAAGGTGAAAGAAGGATGGAAGGTCAAAGCAAAACAGATTGATTTTCCAATTCCAGACAACAGCTGGAAGCATAACTGAACACATCATTGGTGCATCAGAGAAAGACTTGCGAACTTTGTGGCTTTGTACTGTCCTCAATACAATTTTTGAAATTCTTAAAAGTCTGTAGTCTCTTAATGTGGATCACCAAACAGAAGAGCAGTGACACAAATAAACTTGAAAAATTCAGAAATCGTGGCCTTCAGTCCTCACTCATTCAATTATCCACATTGTGTTATTAACACCAGATGCTGGAAATACAGAAACAAATTGCAAGTTTAATTATTAACCTGGTTATTAGCATATGACATATATATGA